CCCAAGACCAAAATTCAAGGAATAACTGTGTACATATGTTAGGAAAACATTATGACATCCGTTTTGACTTTCATCGGCTTTTCTATAAGAATATTTAATTCTATATTTAAAAAAAATAATACAATTTCTCTTACAAAAAAAAAATTTGTTTTAATATTGTATTTGTATATAAAAAAATTTTAATATCAAACAAATTTTTATACTTTTTACATTGTAAATATTTCGGAGAGTAGTGAACTACAACAACAAAAATTATTTTTTATATTATTATTAATTAATTGAATTTTCGGCTGACCACACAGCTATTTCAAATATTGCCAAATACCTGTCATCAGTTATCTTGGAAATTATTCGTAAATAATTTTTTGAGACTGCAAATACCAAGGATTGGACTCCTGCTCTGCTAAATTTGAAGTACGGCTTTGGGTCAGTTGACCAGTGGACCAGTATTCTGAAATACTCGAAAATACTTCACATATATAATATACATATATTGCATCAAGGAGACCCATTTAGAGAATTGAGAATGGGAAATTTAACTTACTAAACTCTTCTGTTAAATAATTCCAAAAACAAACCTAATATGAAAACCTAATATGTAATGTGTATAGTTACAAGTATCTCGATACAGATATACAGATACATATATCTGTACCTTGATTGTTACTTGGATACATTACCAGTACCAAACTGTGTCTGTATGTAGATTTAGTATGTTGTATCTTTATGTTAGAATAGATCGAATTAAAAATTATATTAATGCCTCAAAATTTGATTTCATTATTTAAAATTTTAAATTCTAAAATTTATAGTTAAAGTCAGATGTACCTTGTGATCCCGCGCTTATCCAATCGGTAAATTTGTTTTATTTTTACGCTGGCAACACTATTATACACATTCTGTCAAAGTTTAATGCATATCGTACGATTAGTTTTTGTTTGGCGCTCAACAACTTCTGTTACTTAAGAAAACATTGAATCGGCAAGCAGATTGTGTCGGAACATCGTTGTGAACTGATTAGAGAGATTGCAGTGTTGTTGAGCATCTCATATGGATCGGCCGAACACATTTTAACTGATGTTTTGGGTTAAAACGCGTCGCTTCTCGGCTGGTGCCAAAAAAGTTGAATTTCATTCAAAAAAAGCGTCGTTGTGATGTGGCCAAAGAGATGAAAGTGACCATATATGCGATGCCCAACAACAGATAGTGTCAAATGCATCATAACTGGTGATGAGACATGGGTGAATGATTTTGACATGCCCATCAAACAACAATCGACCAAATGGTGCTTCGAAGTGAGTCGAAACCGAAAAGAGAACGCCAAAGTCGGTCCAAAATCAAGGTTATGCTGACTGTTTTTTTCGATATTCGTGGTGTGGTACACTATGAATTCCTTCTGGACGGTCAAATGGTCAAACGGTCAAAAGGAGTATTATTTTATTAGTATTACAGCGTTGGTTGTGTCGCAGTTTTTGAACAAAAACTCCTCCAATATCATTAACCAAGCACCGTACTCTCCAGATATGGCCTCGTGTGACTTTTTTCTCTTCCTCTTCCCCCGACTCAAATTGCCATTGCGAGGAACGCGTTTTGAGACCATAGAGGCGATAAAAGAGAATTCGCTGGGTGAACTAAAGGACATACCTTCGGTGGCCTATAAAACTTGTATGGAAAATTGGATCAAGCGTTGGCATGCATGTATTGCCGCAGGAGGAGAGTTCTTTGAAGGTGATAATAAAGGAAATTATTAAAAATTAAAATTTTGCGTTTTTTTTTAATTTTCGTTCTTTTTTGATCATAAGGTAAGAACACTTTTTGATCTTAGTTTCATCTAAATAAGATATCAATTGAACAATCTTTAATATTCCACCGAAAATAGTTTGTAAACTTTTATTTATAATTTTAAATACATCAGTATTTTAAAATTAAGCTTAAACTATATTTTTAGTATATCTGGCTTTATATTTTAAAATCAAAAAATATATTAAATTCAGAATTATATCCATTTATTAAAATATGATTTCATAACCAAAACTTTCAAAATTATATATAAGATCGTGAAAAAAAGAAAAGTTACATGATATGCATTAATTTATTGAAATATTTTCATAAAAATATCTATTTTAATTTGCGCTTAAAACAGAAAGATATCGAATAGCTGTCACTTCAAAACTTCAAATGCCATAAACTTTGTAGATACATTACGACAGATATTAAAAGATTAAATTTTATGTCTTTGATAAATATTGACATTAAAAATATTAAATGTTATTATGTAGCTATTATGTACGTTGGTATATTGTAAGTTTATTAAAGTTTACACAGAGGTTCAAATTAAAATGTACCACGTAGCGTATGAGCAACATGTTTTCCCTTGCAAAATGTGACTGAGCCCAGCAAAGATACCGTATTTTTGTGTCTTAAAGGTTTTATATTGAAAAGATTTTTTAATACTTTTAAAGCTAATAACTTAAGTAAATACTCACCTGCGGTGTACACTCAGAGGAATATTGCCTACAATAATATTTGTCTGCGTGTCGCTGTTGCTGCTGCTGCTGTTGCTAGTGTTGTTGTTGTTGTTGCTGTTATCGTCCTGTTGCTTCTCGTTTACTTTTGAAATATTTAACGCGCCTCAATTTCGTACTCAAATATTAGTTCTGAGATTTCGTTGGCTTTTTTCGGTTTTGTGTAATTTGTGTTTTATTATTACTTTTCTTTTGCCCACTGCCGCCAAACATTTACGGTGCTGCATTTACTGCGAGATTTATGAAATTGCCGGAAATCGGAGCGTCGCAAGTATTTTCTAATGTTTCCGTTTCCTACGCAATGTTCTGCCTGGAATTGTTGGCAGCTTCGGTTGCTTCAGCTGCTTCAGTTACTTTGGTTGCTTTAGCTTGAATTAAATTAGCACGTGATGACGATAATTTTTTTGGTTTGTTTTTTATTGTTATTTTTCATTTTTATTATTGTTTTTCTTTTATTTTCTTTTTGTTTTTTTTTTTTGAATTTATTTTAGTTCCGTTTTACTTTGTAGCTCACAACAACCGAGCGTGGTGGTAAGCGTGAAAATTGTACGGAGAGTTCTAAAATTTCACCGGATTTAAGTGAAATTTGATGCGGGTCACGTTTAAGGAATGTGTTGGGCGGTTAATTGCTGTTAAAAGGGGATTTTTAAATTTAATTTAACCAAAATTATTTATTTAGACTCATTAGCAAAATATTCATTGAAGTTATGTATTTTTAATATTTTCCCTATAATTAAAAGCAGAAACTTTTTCATTTATGCCAATGATTTATGAATAAAATATTTTCATCAAAGTTTTATAAATGTCTTTGAAATATTAAATGTTTTTGCTGCTAAAATTTGATGAAAGGAGGAAAGTTATAATTACAGGCAAATTAGATTATATTTGAAGGCTGGGCTGAGTTTTTTTAATCATGTACATTTTTCCATCAGAAATGGATCCTTTAAATCGCAACCCATAAATAATATAATATTGTCATTGATATTGTATTCGAAAAATAATTGATTATTTGTTACAGAATAGTGGTTGATGATAGAAATTTGACTAAAATAAATTATTTCGTTTTAATATCAGAATATTTTAATATCAGAACTTTAATACAAAAAAAATTGTGTACTTGAAATTAAAAATTAACTTTTGAAGAGAAGTCTAAAAAACTCGCAAATATTTATGTAAATAATAACTACATAAAATAAAATATATATTCAA